GTGAGAGGAGGATAAAAGAAAGGAGGAGAGGGATAAGTTTGAGAGAAGGAGCAACACTTTCATTGATAGGACCTTTTAAGCCCTTGGAGACCATTCAATGATACTTTACCACGTACAGTTCAATCCAAAACAATAATATAGCATGAGTCACATAATCTCACATTATACCCAAGTTGACTTTCGAGAAGAAAGAAGAAGATTGAAATGAGAAAGCTATATAACAATATACATGTAGCTTGATCCCATTGTTGAGCATACGAAGCGTACAGGTTAGAACTTACATTGTAGATCTCAGCAGTCATGTGCAGTGACCACGGTCACTGGCTCAGGGAAAAGGGACCCGTGGCCATACGGATGGGCATTCTGGTCTGTTCTAACTGTTACTTACAACTAGGGCCAGTACTGCAGTAGGGGTGTGCGGATAATGCTCAAAAAGCAGTGAAATTGGCAGAACCATACAAACCTTATGGCGGGCAATTCCTCGAATTCTGCTCCATTTCTTTATCCACATACCAAACATGCATGAAACGTACCAGAGAAAGTACCGAATTCTGCCAATTTGTCTGCCGGCAGAATCCGCCGGACCCTAGCCAGTTACCGTGGTTACTGCACATGCCTGCTGAAATCTACAATGTACATGTATATGTAAGTGGTATTGCAGCCTGTCTGCAGCCAGTGCAGGGTAATGAAGACTCGACACTGGTACATGTGGTCTCGGAGGTGCTCAGTATAGACCCATGCATGAGTGCCATCAGGAGGTGTTGGCTGTGTATTGCTATTCTGGGCAAACATGATTGTATTTGTAACGGAACTACATGATTGTACATGTGTGTAGTATCCTTAGTGGAACTATAGGTTATGTGCCAAACTTAGCTGACAGCACCATCAAAGAATTGCTCAAGCATGAGATCACTGGCGACATTCCCACAATGGTAACTGACACCATTTTTTCCATTTATCAGATTCCTTCTTTCCACGTCCGACTGGACGCTTGCCCAGTGTCATTGCCAACATGCTGACAAGGCGGATACACCAACTGTTGTTGCTATAGCCAGTATAGGATCACAGATCAGTCACTGGCAATGGGCGTCATGCGCATGGCGTCATTCCAGGCCGCCATGCGCAATGCGTGCGTCCAGAACATGACATTTTTTAGAAGGATGTGGGATTGCTTATTGTCCGTAACAGTATAATGCGGCCACAGTTCGTCCAGGGGTGCAGCATGCCTGTATGCATGCAATTGTACGGATGTGCGAAGACCTTCTCCCAGTGCACTGCACCCCATAACAACACCAGCACAGTCAGTCACTGACAGTCAGCCATGACATGTAGAGCCTTGCGTGGCCTAACTATTGCTTACTTATAAAGTAACGTTATAGCCAGCTACTTGGTCGTTTCTAAATAATTCTTGGAAGCGCGGCACGCATACCAGTATGTCAGACTCAGAGTTCTTAGTGTTGTTTGGGTGTGGTGTTTCCAAGGTGACGGGTAGCACGCGTGGTGAACGTCGAACCTAAACATGGACTGACCATGTTCATTTTCTTGGGATTAGTAAACTAATGTACATCACACATTGACACTCTACTAGCACACACGTACGTACTGCTTGTTGTGCTGGTACAATGTACTATCAGTGCAAATACTCGTGCACTGCGGATGCTGCATGACCTTTTGCAGTGCGAGAGAGATCATTCACAGTTCTAAGGCCTGCAAGCGCATGGACTGCTTGTGCTGACTCGACTGTGGACAGTGCATAGTGGTGAGCGCAAGAAGGTCAGTGCATGGAGATGTCACATCATGATCTCAACAGTACGAGTATGACAACAACACGTCAAGACCAGTCCGACAGTCCGACAGTCCGAGCACTCCACTCATCATCATGTCATGCTGCCACGAATTGTTGTTTTCACTTGCAGCAATAATTATGAGTGAGGGATACATGTATTGTAAGTAGCTGAAGAATACTGCGGGCTGTGTGCATGATTGTAGTATGTACGGCAGCACAGACTGAGCATGACATGGCCTGAACTGGCCCCGGCCGGATCTGGAGCAAGCACATGTACACGTGACAGACAAGTCGCGGAGTTGTACCTGGCACATGACAGTCCACCGCCAAGCAGACTGTGTCGTCACAGTGGATGGCATGATGGGCTGGCAAGCATGTAGTCACCAGTTGTCAACTCTACGTCATGCCCCCAGGGTGCGTGCAGTGCAGTGCAGTGCAGCACGTCGCCCACGGCGTCCGAGGTGCTTGCCTAGCGACGCGCTGCTGATTCCTAGGCGACAGGTCTGGAGTCAGGCCATTATTTATGAGATGTCAAGCGCAGCGACGCCCTCCGACCGATGTGTCATCTCTTATCAAGATGTAGCTCATGACATGTCGACAGTGCCTGTCAACAGTAGCAGCAGTAGTGAATGACCATGCACTGTCAATCCGTGTGTACGTGTGTGCGATGTAGTCCGGTTGTGCTAATACAGGTGAGAGAATGCCTCAGGCTCAGTTGCTTCACGCCTGGGAAAGAGTGCACACTATAGGCTTACAACGGAGCTCTTCAATGATGACAATCAGAGCATCTCCCTGAAGACAAGCACAGCTGAGCAACACTGCAGCGGTACACAGACAGATACAGCCAGGCTGCGCAGCTGACTGGCAATCAAGGCTCATGACGACCGGAGGATTTTGTTGTTGTTTTTGTACAATTTTGAAACTGGGAATGCATGGCGAGTACAGAATGGGATGTTGTTGACGATGACGTTGATGATGGCGATGTGAAGAGACGGCTGGGAAAGAGTGTTCATGAATTACTCTGAGTTAGACGTACACAGTCAACATGTCACTTGAAATGGCGCCTGCATATACATGTATGATCCACACTTGGTAGCTGCAAGCTTCATACTTCACGCTGCTTCTAAGTTCTAGTAAAATAATTATTAATGTAACTGCATTACAGTCTGTCGAAGCATGCGCCTTCTGCGTGTGATTACGTGTATGACGTCGCGAGAGACTTCACCTGCGCAGACACCTAGTACCTTGCATACGATGTTTACACCGCAAGATGGCCGGGGCACTGCTGGTGGCTCGTCTCCCCTCCCGCGTTGGCGCTTCGCACCTCTCCGCCTAGTTAGGTTCTATGTTGTCAGACAATACTCTCCAGGACAGGAACTAGACAAAAACTGCTAAACATTGTGTTCACGTTCCCCTGGGCAATGGCCATCCCAATCATGAATTCACATGCCATGCTAGACAGAACAATCAAACAGCGACGGCTGAGCTGTGCTGCTGCTGCTGCCGTCGGCGGGAGATATCACTCAATACTCATTCCGCCATCGGAGATGGATTGTATTTGCACAATTGCCTCCCAAGTACCTTTAAACACTACATTCTTGCTGCTTTGTTCTTTCTTCGCGAGACATTCTCAACATTTCACCGCCTTGTGTGTTTGTAAACATCGTGCAAGATGTGGAAGAAAGGCATGCACGCATGTGCTCACATTGGGCGCAGTCGACATATGTACAACACTGCGAAGACCATGTTAGGAACAGAGAGCAATCCTGCCAACTTGCCATGATGGATTGCGGAATCATTAATATTCCCCAAAACAGGACAGCTTCAAGCCTGCTTTCCTGATAGCTGACAACTGTCTGAGCTCGTAGGATTATCTCCGATCTTGTTCGTCTCAAACAATGTCGAGGCAGAGAATCGGAGCTTGTCCTGCATACGTCTGGCAACAGAGTGTCTAAACAAAAGTGCAAAGTTTCCATTGGATTTTAGACGCAGCGGATGAAAGCAGGAAGTGCTCGCAGCGTCCAATTCAGCAATGTGCTAATAGGAGTGTTAATCTCAAAGTAGACTAAGGCGATATTGACCGTGGGACGAATATCATTTTGTCTGTACGGAAAGTCACGTATCCGAGCACGAACATTTGCGTGTATATTATATTATGTCGTTTGCTTTCGCTTTGTTTCTCGCTCCACAACTGACAGAGCACAATTGTGAACACGTAGGTGTACACGCACATGTATAATGTTCATGGCGTGAGGCAGTCCGATGCGCACTTCTATACACGCCCCACTAATGCATGCTTCTAGTTCTATAGACACTGTACTCCGCCACAATCTGACCCACACACCACTGGGATACCCAGGCATCCGGCTAGTTTGGAAAGCTGCGTTCCAGGAAGCCTCTTACTCCGCACTGGGCGCGAGAAGGCCGGACAACATTCCCTCGCCCAAACGTCCCACTACACTGGCGCGATAAGACCGAGCATTAGACAATCAGATCCTTGTCTCCCTTTCTTGCATGCAGCAACAGCCCACCGGTGAGACCGAAGTGTTCGTGCAAGGCGTCCGTTTCTCATAACAGGGCTGTGTCCCACAGTCCACACGGTTCACTCAGCAACAGAGGTGTGTGGAGGACAAAAGATAAGGTTAGGCGATGGCCGAGTCTGAAACACTCCGTACTTCCAGTGTGCACTCCCATATTCTCGGAATGGGAAACCCAATATGGCACCCCAGTGTGGCATGTAGTGCTAGTGGGCAAGGTGGCTGCATGCAGTAGTACAGACTGTCAGTGCGAGCTGGGCACGTGTTATTGACTGCACTGTGTGCCAGGTACTACATGACCATGTACACTATACTAGTAACACTAATCTGGAGTGTGGTCGCCCGCGCACCCAGTGGATAAGGATCACTGGCATTATTCTTGGCATTCACACATATGGGCCGTTCGGACAGCAACCCCAACCCCACTTCCATCAGCTCTTCAGCCTCAGAGATGATGGCGCTCTGGCCAAGAGAGATCGATTGTCTTGATAGTAGAGCAGAGGCCAGTTCTAAGTTAGGTGTTTGTTTTTGCCATCGGCCCATGACAAAAGTCTATATTGAGCTCAGCTCCGGACGCACCCCTTGTTAGCATATCTACAGAAACCAATCTTGATCTCTCAACTCTTCAAGTCAGACCAAGACAGCAAGTAATGGAGACGCAGATACAGTAGACTGGATTCAATGTTTGTTGATTGATGTTGGCAGAATATACGGATGTACATGTATGTATGGCCGAAATGAGTAGTTCATCATTATTGGAATAGCAAACTGGCGCAAACAATGTTCCACAATGAAACAACACAAACGAGGTGGAAGGATGTGACCAAAATTCAGATATGGGAAAATGGAGTGGAAGTGCATCTACATAAGTTACAGTAGAGCTAGGGCAGCAATATCGGTTCTCATTTCGTGGCATGTTTCTGAAATCAGGAATATAAACAGAAATACAAAAAAGGCCAATTCATAGAAACGGGCAAGAGGGTTGAGATATCCGAAGCATCCATATACTGCATAACTGACATGCACGTCATGTCACGTGAAGATTTGCTCAAAGCACACCAAATGCAGGAAAAAATGATATTATGCTCTTTGATAACAATAAAATAGGTCATGCATGCTCAGGTGGTGTTGTTTGTGTTAAAATTCTCTTGCGACAGTAGAAAGTTATGCAGACATGGGGAATGCAAACTCAACCATTTAGTGGACATGATGGTTGCAACACACAGAGTTTCACGCTAAAACAAAATCTTCAAGCAAGGATAAAAGCAATACTACCAACTACAGGACATCTACATGTCTTACATGGGTTACATGGGTGCATATGTATAATTATTGAAGAGAAGTTCACGCATTCGAGATTCCACCGGATATATACAATTGTGTTCAGAACCGCGATCAGCTTCGGCAATTTCGCTCTTGTGTCCGTACTGTGAATGAGAAACGAAGAAGTATGCACAGACTACAGTGCTACATATGCCACTGTGGTAGCGCGTCTATCTACTATAGTACTAAGCTGATAACGCAAACAGCAAAGACACTACCCCACTAAGCTGATACAAAGCGGAGATGCCGTTGGCTTGCGAGAGTGGTCAAGTCGAGAAGAGGAGCCTGCTACACAAGCACAAAGCTACTAGTACTACATAGTCAGTCTCTACTAATTGCACTTCTACAATGGTTACCCTTGGGAGGGTCCTGGTAGATGCGGGGTCACGAACTGTTCTTTGGGTATGGTGTAAGGCATTCACGGTAACGATTACACGAGGCAGGAATTCTCTTTTCTCGTCGTCCTTATGCTGTGGCGGTTTGCGAGCTGAGAAGATGAGGAAAGACCGTGTTGGATGGGTTGCTGAGTGCGAATCCGCTGGGCGGCGAGCGCGTCTTCAAAGCTGAGGGCATGGCCATCACCATACCGGCCGTGTACGTTTGAAAGGACGTGGCTTGCATGGGAGCTGCAGCTGCTGTTTGGTGAGCGTGATGGTAGGGCGGCACGCCATACGCCGCCGCGTAGTCAGTGGCGGCGATCACGGCTCCAGAAGGAGCAGTAACGGCTGCTGCTCCGCCAACGCCTGCAGCTACTGACGGCGAAGAGGATTGCAGGCGACCAAAGTGAGTCTGCATGCCAACAATGTTGCCGGCAGGGGAGCGCTCGCCCTTTCTGCCTTTGCCGTTCGCTGACTTTCGATTCCTTGTTTGGATCACATCCTTCTTCATAGTCAGTGGGCGACTCACCTACAGAAAGCATTATCAAAGGAAGGACAAAGAGAAGCAGCAGTTTAGATACATGTTATATGAACCAGGACAGGCAATGCATGTCAATAAAAACTGCTGATCATAGTTTAGTGCTCTGCGCTTCTGCAGGATGAATACCCAATCTTCGATACCATATTTGGACCTGATCCGAGCCGATGTGCTGACCCGCCTAGTTGTTGAGTTAGCGAATCACAACTCTCAAGCACAATGCCACCTGCACTGGCAGTAGTACTACTAGGTACATGTATATTATGTAACGGTAGTGTACTGTTAGTGTTTTCATTCATAGTGCGTTGAAGTACAGTGTATGTAACCACGAAGCTGCCATCAATAGCCAGGAACAGGCCGTCTCAAGCCAAACTAACTTACACAGGACACAGGACAGCTCTTGCCTAAAACGAAAGTCCAACAGCGAATATGATGCAATAATCACGCATGGAGCTAAGTGGATCTATCGCAACACTCTGGACCAGTGAACATATTGTCATGGACCTTGCAAAGAATCTTAGATCAGTTCAGAAGTCCGGGCAGTGCAGCTGATGAAACACACCTGCGCATACATAGCCATTCAGCACTGCGCCATTGTATCATATGTGCATAGTATGCACAATACTGACAATCTGTGCATGTGCTATGAAGTAGTCTGTAGACTGTGGACACTGTGCAGCACTCACCCCATGAAGCTTCTGGTACAGGCCACACGCATTGCACACCGTCTCGCTGTTGGTAGGATTGCGCCTCCACAGCGTGGTGGTGGTCGTCTTGCAGTTAGCGCACACCTGGCCTGTTTTCTTGGGTGTGTTCTGTACAGGAAAGGCAGTGAAAACGATCACAAACATAACGATTAGAATCGAGGCACGGTCGCCAGAAGGACGCAACTAACTGATAATTCATCAACATACATGATCTGCAAGATTAGAGATTAGAGTGAGAAACTCTGAGAGGCTTCCATGCCACAAAGTAGAGCGCGCTGTCAATTGGTCCTACCACACACCATCAGAGTGACAGAACCGGAGAGAAGTCATCTGCTGCGGCAATCTCCGCGATGAGCAGCGTCGGTGGGTGAGCCCGGAGCCTCACCACACTACTAGACAGTAGTGATCAGTGACGGCTTAGTAGCATAGCTAGGACACGGTATCCGTGCTGCCAGATCGTTTCGCCGTCTGTAAATAATTATTCCAGCACGCAATCTCCGACCGAATGTTGCAACACTCTGCTCAAACGTTTCGAGCAGCATCTCTACACCACCACTTGAAACCAAACTGAACGTCAACATCGTGTTTTTCTTTTCATCTTCCGTTGTGTCTTCCATCACAAGCAATCAACTTCAGAGTGCAACATGTCCGTTTTTCAACCTGTCTGTATCGTAGCTCGTAATACTTGTACTGTTGCTGTAGTTTGGTTAAGTTAGGCTCCCATCCTGTCATGTCTCCGGAGCTGAGCGGTGTCGAGCATGGCTAAATCGAGCTGAGTGTGGTTTGTAAGGCGCAATGTTAGCAGCATTGATCAGCGCCACAGCGAGGACGCTGACAAGAACACTACACTACAGACTAGTTCGGCCTGTACCGTGCTACCAGTACGTGTAACATAGCCAACTACACGCTAATGCACCTGTACTGTACTGTACGTCAGCATAACGGTTACGAAACACGAACGGTACAGTGCAAGATGAACGTCCATGTTTCACTGACACTGTGATTGTTTGCCATAACGGAGTATGGTGCAGTGGTCCTTGCTCCTTACCGATCTCTTCTTGCTCTTCTGCAGTGGACGATGTGCTCCGTTCATCTTGGTGTACAGGCCACATGCGTTGCACAGATAAGACCCGTCTCGGTCCCGTCTCCACAGTGGAGTCTCGCTGATGTGACAGTTGGCACACTCACGGTTCTCCACTGAAACGGGTACAGCAAAAGACAAACAACAAGAAATGACACTTAGGCTGGATGCAGTGCAAAAACACATACACGATGTACATGCACATTGTGTTTCGCTGACTTTGTTGCAAACAATTCAGTTCGCTGTCTTGTATTGTTGGGTAAAACGCGCTCATTCGTTTTTGCTGGTGACATGTTTGCGAACTCATAGCATGCCACCAACACAGCCAATGGGCATCATGTCGAAGGTTAAATGAAATACAACTGTACTTCGAAGTACAAATAATTGCCCAAAGACCGCTGTAGTCAAAGACAATATTCTACTTGTGCAGTGTAGTTGAGAGGGTACGGGTTCGCAGTGTCCGCAACTAGTCTATAGACTTCGGACTACGACTACTACAGAAACGGCATGGTTCGGTGCAGGTCACTGTCTAGGTTCAATATTCCCTCCTCCACAGTACAGGATCATTATGGCAGTAGCGCGGAACAGAATGAAAGGCCACAGTCCTGCTGGCCGCTGCACTTCTGTCGACGCCTGTCTGTCATCTGCACAGCCCCTGCCTCGTTTGTTGCCTTAGGCTAAACGAGCCCTATAGCTATAGGCTGCGAGATCGCCCAGTGCACTGTGTACCGGCCTAAGCCAGCAGGACCTGTCCAGCACATTGTCGCCATGGCCACAGTAACTCCACACAGCCGTGCTACTACTAGTGGGGAGAAGTTGTAGCTGTCACCGTTCAGTGTTCCCTAACCATACACTAAGAAGTGCGGAAAAACAATGAACTCCGGGACCAAAGTCCGGAGCTGCGACTGCAAACATGTGCAATCGCCCTGGGAATGGGCAGCTGGCTATGAATCACACCTGTCAAAGCTTGTTCGTCGTGTGGAGTTGTCAACAGCCGGAGTTTTTTTTGTGTCTACCAGAGCTAGGCGGAGATGAGCCACCGCATGCACACATCCTGCTGTATGGCTCTTGCTCCCTATGACTTCTAATCTCCATCCGAAAATGAATGGAACCTTCTCTTCCTTCTCTCCATACATTCTCAGCGCACTTCATTGCATAATACGTGCATGCACCAAAAGACTTTCAGCTCTGCCAAAGACTTCAACTCCTCTTACACTGACTGCAAAGCATGGGTTTACTGACTGATCGCCGCACTCACTTACGCAACACCACAATAGTAAACTACAGTATCTAGTACTTGTTTAGGCGTGATGGCATGGCTGCAGGCCATGGTCGAGAAATCTTACTCCGCATAGACACACTATCCAGCATTGTTATCACACGGAAAGTGAGCGAAACATGCCTGCAGATGTCAGGGTGAAGTCACACATAACCAAACAGACATGCACATGCACGGAGCCGAAACTAACAGCAACGCCAACACGCTAATAACTGTTACTTACTGTCTTCCAGCGTGTCCGACTGCGCGTCCATCACATAGCCGTCCATCTCGATGGGCTGCAGGGTCGGCAGACTAGTCGCACCGCTGTTGTTCATCGGCATGGTGTTCTCCAGCTGGTCAGACATGGACGGTGATCCAGTGGAAACGTCAATGTTAGAGGCCTGGCCCTGGCTAAGCTCAGTCAACGGCGGCAGGCTGGTTGATGCAGACTCGCCCGATGTGCTATGGTGGGTGTTGTGCGTGTTGTGCGGTCCCGTGGATGACGGAGGATGCTGCCACATAGATCGAAGGTCAACAATGCTCAGATCCACCAGGGAACCAGGCAGGGATCCTTCCCTAGCCAGCTTAGCACCAGTTGGCGGGGTAGGGAAAGTGAAAACAGTTGAGTTTTGCTGTATGAGTGGCAATGGTGATTGATTGGGGCTACTTTTACCTGTATACCAGGGAGCAGCCGGAGGTGATGTCGGCGCTGGTGTCGCCGAAACGCTTGCATGAGACGTTACCGGCGGGAAGGTCGTAGCTTTAATAGACGTAGACCAGGACATGTTCGGGCAGAATGGCTGCTGTCTGAACATCGGCGCAGAGATACCATTCACGACTGTTTGTCCTCCTCCTGCTGCAGCTCCTGCATTAGCTGGTTGCGGAATGCTGGGTTCAGAGCCAAAGTACGGATGGTTGCCGTGTGCACTGGACGCGGCGCCTGCTGCTACCTCTCCGCTGTAGTAACTGGGAGCGACTAGAAGATTGGACGTAATGGAGTCTGTGGAAGCATGATGTTGAGGTCCGGCGTATCCGTGATGAGCCGTGACAAACTGATGATGATGCTGCTGTTGATGATGATTCTGTTGCTGATGCTGCTCGGGTGGTGAGAGGAGAGGAGGGAAGGATGTGACTTGGCCTACTCCAAACGACATTCTGCTGCTGCTCCTCGGTGACCAATCACAATCTCTTTGATCGATGCTGGACTCTAGCGAGGTTGTGCTGCTGCTGCTGCTGTCGTTGTTCCTGGTGGAACGTGTGTAGCTATCAAGGTTGCGCTGATAGTCTTGATGGGACAGTTGATGTAGCGATGACGACGAAATCTCTGGGTATAGAGAGTGCCTTGGTTGATCAGGTGAGGTTATCCTTCGAATAGTTTGAATGTTGACCTTATCGTCTGAGCTGTTGTGCCTAGAGAGGGAAAGATTAGATACGAACAGCAAGGCTTGAATTGGAACTGAGCTACACTTCGAGAGAGTACAAAGCTTTTTAGCGAAATGTCTTTCTCATTCGTAAAGCCATGACTGTACGGCACGTCAGCATAGACCTGCAGTGATAGCTTACAAATGTAACATGCCTAGTCGTATGTGGTTAGAGGGGCTTCGAAAGCGCCGTCGTGACTCCAACGGGCGATCTAGAATAGGCTTCGAGGCTAGCTTTGACTAACTGCAGTAGTGATTTCAGCGGGTCACTCGCTGGCAGCTGCCATCTTCGCGGTTAGAGCCACGTCGAAGGGAAATACCTACGCGCCGTCGGGAACTGCGGGCCTCACCAGCGTACGCGGGCAGTTTTTCGAAAATGCACGGCAAGTCCGGTGCATCCCGGCTTGCAGTTCTGCGAGGAGTTGACATTACCTTTTACCTACATGTAACTGGCTTCGTATGGGACCCGGCCAACTTTTTTTACAGTGTCTGGCTCTTCCCCTACCACACGTCATATCTGTCAGCACCTTGCTCACCTTAGCTCCACGGAGTGGCATTGTCGAGGCGCTGCTGCACCGTGAGAACAGCAACACGAGCAGTCAGTGCAGGCATCCCCAGCGTTAGTGGCTACCTCTTCGTGTCCCGCCATGTATGGGGACGCAGCTGCAGCTGACGACCACGTAGACTGGTGAGGCGGGGGAGCGGAGGAGAGCGAATCAGAGGACACATTGTAAGGTGCAGCCATCATTTTGCTGCACATTCGATCGATCGCGTCTTGCAAGGGAATTTTCAAGCAGCAATATCCTCTATCTCTCTCGTATTCTCGGATACAAAAGGTAGTCTTCTCGACAGTTCTCGACCGGGATGAAATGGGATGACAGTGAAAGCGTGCTCAGCAGTTTCCTTTCTCAGTAGTGGGGATATTTGTAGTGTCGATATTAGCTCGTCCTGCCTTTTCCAGCACTGACCTCACCTGTCTCCGCGGAGGTGTTGTTTTATTGGAGAAATTCTCGTCTCCGCGGCTACGTCACGGTTGCTTGGATTGTAGCCGCGCGCAGCACACAGTGGTCAAAGAGCACTCGAAAGAGACTGTGAAAGGGGGCGCCTGCCTGTCGCTTACTGAAGAATGGATTTTTGTTCGAGTTCAGCCTCAGAGATCCCTTCTTTCAGTCGCTAAATATCACGCTACTCGGGGTCACTCCGGTGTGGATCGCGGCGATTAAAACTGCTACGGACCTGCCTGCGATTACTTTCAAGGCCAGGTGAATACACAGATGGCTCTCTGAGTTGGTCTGCTGCTACAATGTTAGACGGATTTCGAACCGACACGACCACCACTGCTATGCTCGTTGGAAAGGAAATCCAACTTGCGAATGCCCTAGGCTTCGCCGACAGCTAAAGCAAAGAATAATTTAACACGAAGGCAGAGAGGGAGAGAGAGAGAGAGGAACAAAAAAGGATCTACTGATCATCCGGACTTTAATGACACACTGAATGAAAGGCTCTTCAATGGACTTTATACCTCCGAGATAATCGGCTTTAACCGCTGATGTGAACTGAAGAACCCGAGGCACTACTAAGTGAGAGGGGCAGGACTGTAAACCGCTCACATTTCATGGTTTCACAATGTACTCGTACACGCGGTCCACGTGTCATGTGTTCCAGCAATAAAACCCGCTACTCTAGATAGATACGCTGGTACTGGAGTGTTTGCGTGCGGCGTGCGTGAGTGGTCAGGAACTAAGATGGGATCCCGCTGAGATTATTCACAAAGCTCATTACTGCACGTGTTTGCTGTCAACTTCTTCGCTGCACCAGTAATTTTGTCCGTATACAGTCGTTTTAGGAGCTTTAGTCGCAGCACCAAGCACTTGAACACCGCAACTTAGGCTCGATTGTTGCTTTTCCCGTACTGGCGCAGACGCAGGTGACCCAGAACATGGCCGCTTGGTGGACTTGATGTGCGCAGAGCATAATGTTGGTGTTGGTGCCAGTAGTGGTCAGTCTGTAGTAGAGCCCATGAGATCATCATTCTTTAAGCCGCACCGAACGAGAGAGGAGGGGGGGAGTTGGAAGTGCCAAGACCCTTGTCTGAGGGCTAGAAGTCGGTCACACGTGGGCCAAAAGTGACACCCACCTTTTCAGCAGATCGCCAAGGATCTTTTCTCTCTACTCCACCTAACTTGGCTTGCACAGGGCTTTCAATATCGTACTGCTGTATGGTATTGGTGGTCTGGAGTGCTGTTACTGAGGGTCCTTTGACAGGCTTCTGTGCTCAAGTGTTCCACGGGCAGATTGGTGGAAGAGAACGACCTTCCCCCTATCTTTTCTAGCGCAGCTGTTGAGTGGCCACTCACTTCACACTGCTCTTCTTTGTTTCACTGGATATCCCATCAATCACCACCACCATCACCACTGGCAGTTTGATGGAGGCTGGTGATGCGGTGTATCGCAGAGGAAGAAAATTAAAAATCTTCTCTCCAGCTATCACATTTTGCACTCGTAAAGCTCTTACTACTCATGTCTTTGGGGTTCTTTTTAAACAGCGTGTTACGTTGAAAGGGAAATGTCTGTCAGGTACTACTAGTTTGGGTATTACAGTTGGCAGCATGTTAATGTTGCCTTTTGTGACTTTTGCAGCTCTGAGTCATGCTACTACTGCATCCCCAGGTACATGTACATGTACATGTTTCCTGAGCACAACAGCTGGGGAAGTTTTTTCCTTGAAACATGTACATGTACATGATTGTATTTCCTTTGTTCTTGCTTTCGTACGCACATACACGCCTGTTTTCCTATCATGAGAAGTTACGGAAATCTCCTTTTAATTTGTTAACGAAATGTACATGTAGAACGGCTCTGCTTGTTCTTTTTCTCAGTCTTGATGGCGAAGAATTAAAGATCGGGGTACTGTGATTCTAAGAGAATGAATCCGCACCCTTGCTTTCATGTACATTATAATTGCACATCCACCACTGACTATCTGCAGTACACGTAATGAATGACAGCATCATCATGCTGCTGTTAGTGCAGACCTGAAGCGTTGGTGGTTTTAAACAATCGCGTATAGCACTTACTTACAGTCATGAATTCATAAGTTTGAGGGAGTCATGACGTAATGGCTAATGCTTGATTTTAAAAACGGCAATCATGTACATTTCAGAATGAGTGTTACACCTGCGGCAGGAGAGCAGTAGAGGTTTCACAGCAGAGGTGATTTTTCAAGAACAAGCACTATCCATGGTCTAAGAACACGCTACGGCTGCCAGAATTATTGAATCAGGCTATTTCACCACTGTTTCGAGCCAGGGCATGCCAAGCGATTGAAAGTAATTAGTTCTCACCGGTCGCATCTCCTTGACATGCAAGGTGACTTTGTTTACAAAACAGATTTGCAGCGCGGAGTCGCGTCACGACTCGCACCCCTACCCTGTACGTAGTCTGCACACGATAAAAGAATCGTTTACGCTGTAGGACCAGCACACAGGGGCTCGCTCGTCGAATGCAAATGCGTCATTGTCACGCATGGTCTGTGGCATTGTCTTGTCGAATACACGCGCAAAATATGTGCTATGCCACAGCGGCTACACTCTGAGTTCAGGCACTGACGACTACAAGTACTACATTGTAGTACCGTCATCTACTCTCCTTTGTCTTTTGCTTGGCTCCAGACGTAATGCTCTATAAATTCTGCGGTAATATGGGCGACTGGCTGGAATATGATGTCCATTCATGCCAATTAGGATTTGAAATTGTCCAATGTTCGAGCACACGAGAGCCGGATTACGGCAGTAAATCTCAACATTAGTGACATGATTTGATAGCTTTCGAGGGACGGGGCACGGGGCAGGATATGAAGTGTTGCTGTCGTTCGTCATCATTGACGTTGACAATACAACTTTACAAGGACATACGATGATGTACAATGATTATTTAGCTGGGATCATTATCAGCATCAGGCATCATGGTGGCGTCGCCCGGACCATCCAATGCAACCTGTGACTTGTGTGAGCGATCATTAGTTGGCGAAGACTGTGCCAGAACGTATTACAGTAGAGCGAGTTGGCTCACTGAACGACCCGGCCGCATACCAGCGTCCAGCGTCATGAAATTGTTTTTAAGACTTAAGACCTGTTCTACATGAATTCTTATGTATGCCTGCCTAGCCTTTTCTGCGCCCCCGCTTACATGAAGCGAGCTGAACCAATTTGCATTGTATTGTGTCACAGTTGGTAGGGAATTGATGTTTGAATCGGACAGAGACCACCTCTCGAGCTGACGACGCGTACTACATGGCATTTCATTATCTGAATGCAATACTAGCGCTGGGCGCCGGGCGTGCAATCGATAATCGCCGTTCGTCTGTATTGAGCAGCCAGGGCATTATGCCTTGGTCTGGCGCTCAATGACGGCAACCTTTCCTGTAGCCCACAGCAAGCTCCTGACTGACCTGAATATGCTGTGTCTCCACCCTGACCGGACATGTATACCACTGTACACCGCGCACCGGTGGACTTTGGTAGTCCAATGGCAGCTTTGGTGTATACAGTTTGCACTACTACGAGGCTGTGGACAAACGCAATGGAACACGTGACATGGTTTTTCCAGTGCCAGGCCCAGTGAATCATCTGAATGACGAAGGCACAAGCAAGGATATCACCAGCAGAATCGAAACAGATTGTTGTGGATTCCTCGGGGCGAATGTGCTCTCATGAAAATGTGCTGAATGTCAGCAGTACGGTAATGTACAAGTACGCATGAGCCACCAACCATTCCGTCAATTCAGCAATGGCATGTCACAGCATTTTTGTTGTGAATGCGGATCTTGTTCTACTTTCATCTTGATGAGACTTTGCTGCATAGCGGTGCCCGTCAGGTATCACTGGATTTTTTAGAACTGCTTTTCCCACTGGTTATAAACCAAAAACCTACAAATCTCGGTTACTGGTGGACTTTGTTTTACTGTTCCAGAATACGCGTACTACAGTAACAGTTATGCATGGAATCGGGTGCCCTTGGAGGTATACCTGTAGATCTACCACCGTGCACCCCACACAAGCATTACCATCACGAGCACTTGGCATGCGGCGCTGGCAGGGATGGCCGACTGCCGTCCTCAAGTGCTGCTGCTTACTTATCCACAGTGCAACACTAGTGCCCATTGAATAACGTTACTCGACCCCAGCCAATGCATCTATCCATGGATGTAGGCTGTAGCACATAGGACGAGTATTATTGTACTGTTATTGTAACCATCCTGTCACGAATGGGAGAATCCAGAGGCATGTGCGGCCCAATTCATGCCACATGTCCTTCTGCCTCAACCAGGGCCACCATGTACCACCACCACCACAACCCCTGTGACCATGCTAGTTTTCGTCAGCACTTACGAACGCGAACCCAGCCTCTGATTAAGCGGCTCTTGACTTAACGTAATTCATTATTTAATTGGACTGGGATTTGTAGCCTCCTCCACAGTCCAGTCGGTCTGTACGTCCTTTGCGTAGGGCGTTTGACCTTGGAGCAGTGAAGCCTGGGGACTCCACACGACCACTGTACATATACCAGTGACCATACATGCAACTGTAATTGGCGTGTTTTCATTTTCTCCTCGGCCTCCTTTTGCATTACAACAATCATCATTATCATCTCAACGTTTGAGCATCGGATTCCAGGGACGGAACATGCACCTTTACATGTATGTGTATGACACGAGGTTCACACTCCGACTGCCCTCATTGGCCTGGACCACCATGGATGATGGCTACATACGGTTTCATGTTTTAGTTAGAGAAAGTTACATGTATGCCAGGCCCCAGAGCTGGGGAAGCTGAGGACATGAACTCCGTGTGTCATTTCTACCCTATCCTATACAGGCTGCTTTGCTACTGACCACCAGGGAATTTAGGTTATGGCATTCGGATAATTGCTGAAGAAAGATGAACAACACTAGGAATTAGAACTCTCTCCTCGAATACGGTTGGTGTCTTAGCTGACTGCACTCACCAGTTCGTACTGCATGTAACTATTACTTTGCATTCGCAAGGACTGATCTCCCGCAAACCTCAGCAATGTCGCACCTGCGTGTGGCTAGACCAGCAGGAAGGCACACGCTCCCACCGCACAGGCCGGCTGCGTGTTGGTGTCTGTGCGGTTTGACGTGTAATCCGAATCCGTGACAAAAACGAAGTGAACGCGTCCTGTCTGCTGTCACGCGCGCTCAGCTCGGTGCGTGCGCAGTGTGTATTCGCCTCACGATCAATATCATGCTGACAGTGTTACTGTTAGCTACACTAGCTCCTAGTAACGTGGTGTCTTGGTGATCATGGAACTGGTGATTGGATTGCATGGGCAGTGCACCTGAGAATCGGATTGACATTTCCGCAGCAAACCAGCAGCGCCATCACAGTACAACCGCAAGTAACAAAGTTACTATGCCAAGTCGATCATGGTCGATGAGATA